TCATTTGTCATTAAAGAAATACAAAACAGGGCCGGGCGCAGTGGCTCATGCCTGTAATCCCAGCACTTTGGGAGGCCGAGGCGGGTGGATCACGAGGTCAAGAGATCGAGACCATCTTGGTCAACATGGTGAAACCCCGTCTCTAATAAAAATACAAAAAATTAGCTGGGCACGATGGCGCGTGCCTGTAATCCCAGCTACTCAGGAGGCTGAGGCAGGAGAATTGCCTGAACCCAGGAGGTGGAGGTTGCGGTGTGCCGAGATGGCGCCATTGCACTCCAGCCTGGGTAACAAGAGTGAAACTCCGTCTCAAAAAAAAAGAAATACAAAACAAAACCACACTAAGATATCACTTCCCACCACCTACTAGAATAGCTATACTTTTTAAAAAAGGAAATTAAGTTTTGGTGAGCATATGGAGAACTGGAACACTTGTACACTGCTCTCATGGAAAAATAGTTTTAGCAGTTCCTTAAAAAGCTAAACCAAAAGCTTACCGTATGTCCACTTGTAGGTATATTCCCAAAAGAATTGAAAACAGGGACCCAAACAGATTCTTGTATGCCAATGTTAATAGCAGCATTATTCACAATAGAAAAAAGGTGGAAACAACCTAAGTATCCATCAACAAATGAATAAATAAAATAGTATAAAGTGGAATATTATTCAGCCATAAAAAGAAATCAAGTTATGATACATGTCACAACATGGGTGAAACTTGAAAACATGCTCCTCACAAAAGATGCTGAATACCCAAAGCAACTTGAGCTAAAAGAACAAAGCTAGATTGCCTAACTTCAAAATACAATAAACTCTGGTAATCAAAATAGCACAGTACTGGCATAAAAAGAGACACACAGGTAACAGAACAGAATAGAGAGCCAAGAAATACAACCACGCATTTATAGCCAACTGATTTTTGACAAAAAAGCCAAGAATACACAATGGGGAAAGGTCAGACTCTTCAATAAATGGTGTTGGAAAACAGGATAACCATACGCAGAAGAATGAAAATAGTTTCAATTATCTCTCACCACATATAAAACTCAAAATGGATTAAAGACTTAAACGTAAGACCCAAAACCATGAAATCACTTGAAGAAAACATGGAGGAAAAGTTCCCTAACATTGGTCTGGGCTAGAGGTTCCCAACCCCTGAGCCACATATGAGTACCAGTCCATGGCCTGTTAGGAACCAGGCCACAAAGCAGGAGGTGAGCATCAGGCAAGCAAGCATTAGATTCTCAAGAAACACAAACCCTGTTGTGAACTGCACATGAAAGGGATGCAGGCTGCATGCTCCTTAGGAGAATCTAATGCCTTATGATCTGTCACTGTCTTCCATCACTTCTAGATAGGACCCTCAAGTTTCAGGAAACAAGCTCAGGGCTCCCACTGATTCTACATTATGGTGAACTGTATAATTATACCATTATATATTACAATGTAATAATAATATAAATTACACAATAAATGCAATGAGCTTGAATCAACCTGAAACCATCCCCTCCCTCCTGTGGATGGAAAAATTGTCTTCGATGATACCAGTCCTTGGTGCCAAAAAGGTTGCGGACCACTGGTCTGGGCAATGATTTTTTGGATATGATCTCAAAAGCAAAAGCTGGGATGGATAGGTGGTAGGAATGAAAAGATGTTGTTTTTTTGTTTTTGTTTTTTCTTTTTTTTTTTTTGAGATGGGTTTTCGCTGTTGTTACCTAGACTGGAGTGCAATGGCACGATCTCGGCTCACCGCAACCTCTGCCTCCTGGGTTCAAGCAATTCTCCTGCCTCAGCCTCCCGAGTAGCTGGGACTACAGGCGCACACCACCATGCCCAGCTAATTTTTGTATTTTTAGTAGAGACGGGGTTTCACCTTGTTGACCAGGATGGTCTTGATCTCTTGACCTCGTGATCCACCCGCCTCGGCCTCCCAAAGTGCTGGGATTATAGGCGTGAGCCACAGCGCCCAGCCAAAAGATGCTGTTAATGAGTACAAAAATACAGTTAGATAGAAGGAATGTTATCAGGTTTGATAATTATATAGAGACAAAAAAGGGTAAGTGATTGCCTGGGAAAGAGGGTGTGGTTGAGTACTAATGGTTATGGAGTTTCTTTGTTGGGTGATAAAAAAGTCCTAAAGGTGATTGTGATAAAGGCTGTACAACTCTGAAGACAAACTAAAAACCATTGTATTGTACACTTTAAATGGGTGAATTGTATGATATATGAATTATATCTCAATTAAGCTGTTTTAAAAAAAATGCTGAGTGGAATTTGCCACATACAAAAAGTCAAATATTTTATGATTCCACTTACATAGAATATCTAGAATAGGCAAATTTGTAGAGGAAGAATGTGCATTTGAAGTCACTAAGAGCTGGGTGGATGAGGCAATGGGGAGTTATTGCTTAAAAGTTACAGTTTCTGTTTGAAGTCGTTAGAGTGGTGGTGTCAACATCAAGACAATGGTAGAATAAGAAAACAGTGGTGGTGATGATTTCACAGCATGAGTATAATTAATGTCACTAAATAGAACACTTAAAAATGGTTAAGATGGCAAATTTTATATTTTATCACAATTTTCTAGAAACATAATTCAGATCATGTTTCCCTAACAACTCTCCAACAGCTTCCCATCTTCCTCAGAATGAAAGCCTCAGTTTTCAAAATAGTCCATAAGTCCTACACATTCTGCCTGGCTTCCCTTTCTGGCCTGACCTCTGACCTTCTCTCTGCTCTCCTCCAGCTGACTAGGCCTCTTAAGTTTTCCTCTCTGAATATAAGGAGGTAGGTTCCCCAGGGCCTTTGTACTTTCTTCTCCTCCAGAGAACCTCAAGGTAAGTTCTCTCACTTCCTTGAGCTCTGGACTCAAAAATTTCCTTCTCAGTGAAGTCTTCCCAGACCACCTACTGTAAAACTGCAGCTCCCTATAGCCCCTCAGCCACCACACACACCCATTCTTCATCTCTCTTTCCTTTCCATTCTCAATTTCCACTTTGTCATCCTATATATTTCACTTTTTGTCTCCTTCCCCTAAGATGTAAGCTCCAAAAGCAGAGAGATGTTTGTCTGTTTTGTTCATTGTTGGTTATCTCTAGTGCCTGGAGCAGTCCTTACTATACATTTGTTGGATTAATAAAGGGAGATCACTGTGTGAAAAAAATAGAAGAAAATAAATGTTTATCTGAAGAATGCAAGGCCCTTTAAATTATCAGGCCCAGAGAGGCATTAGAATGAAAAGACAGTCCCATCTCACTCCCTCCTTGAGCAGGATAATTATCTCTTGAAGTCTACCTGCTATGTGGGCTCTAGACTGACATCAAGTAGCCATAAAAGGCCATATTCTGGACACGATAACTCATATCCTATGAGTTACAGTGTACAGCCAATGACTAAGCAATGGTATCTCTGTAAACCAATAATAATTCCTGGCCAACTTTGTCTCAGCCCACTCCCTCCCTTCGCCCTTAAAATCCTGCTTGTAACTAAGACTGAAGGAGCACTCTGCAAGGCAACTGGGAAGTGAGTCCTGGGCAGCTGTACTCATTTTAGCTCAAGTAAACTGTTTAAATTACAATTTCGTGGCCCAGCCTCTTCCTCTTAGGTCAACACCACTATTCAATGACATCAATATCTGAACTGTCCTACTTATCCCAATCTCCCACCCCTAGAAAGAAATGTACCAAACCATACAAGCCTGAAGTACTCCGACATACAGACCCCTATATTAGCAACCTAAGAATTATATTATCTTCTTCAATAGGGAGTAGTATTTTTCATATCAAACCTAGCCAAACAACTGAGATTCAACCAGGAAAAAAAAAAAAAAAAACGAAAAAAAAATCCATTAGCGACTGAGTGATTTGAACTCAAAAAAATCCATCATCACTTGCTAAATAATAGACTGCAGGTTATCTCCCTCGATTTTGCTGTGCAGACATGGAGTGGCTCAGTATCTCCCATAATAAAGGCCGTACTGGAAGAGAGCAATCCTGAGCGCGCAAGGTAAACATCAGGCTGGGGCCGGGAGTGGGGGAAGGACTTTTTGAATGGTGGAAAATCCGAGAGACCCCTTTCCTGGCTGCTCCAGGGGGGGAAGGGAAAGGGAGAATGTCCGTTTTTCTGGAATCTCCCAAACAACCCAGGGGCCTGCTCCGCGGGCCTAAGCACCTCTACGTCTCAGAAGCCTAGCACGATATATACCCCGTGCACGGAGCTGGAAAACGAGAGTGGGAAGACAAGTTACCCTGAGAAGAGCCAGTCCAACAGGTCTTCTCCTTCAGCCGGATGACTGTGGAGCTCCACCACAAGCAGGACCTGCAACCCAGGCATCCAAGATAGACACCAATTCACCAAAGTTTATTCCCGCGCTGCAGAGTACAAGCCTGCGCGTCTCCGGCGCACACAGTACACATCAGCGCCGGGAGACCGGGCCGCCCCGCCCCTCCGGCTCCGGCCCCGCCCCCGCTCCGACCCCACCCCTTTCCCCGCCCCGGCCCGGCTCGCCTTCAGCGCGGCGCTGCAGCCCTCTCATCACAGCCCATCTAGCCCCGCCCGGCACGTCGCGGTGCGCATGGGCAGAGGCCCTCGCTGCCGCTAAGCCCCTCGGGAAGTGTAGTCTCCTTGCAGGTGCCGCTGGGCCGCCAGAGTCCCGCATCCCGGCGGAATCCGGAGAAGTGAGAACACTCCCGCCACCCGGTCCTCGTTCCCATCTTCGTATCTGTTCAGTCCCCTCGCACTCCCGCTGCACCCCACGCGCCAGGCTTCCGTCAGGGTGCGCACTGAAGAAGAGCGGAGACCCTCTTCTTCCCCTCAGCTGGCTGTGCCGGGGGAGGCGGGGTCCACCGCCCGCCCCTCGCCGTCGCTCTCCCCGCCTCCCCTCCCCTCCCCTCCCGGCGGGTGTGGGGCAGGTGTCCGAAGCCAGGCGGCGGCCCCCGCAGCGGCCGCAGGAGGGGCGGCGGCGGTGGGCGCCGCGGGCGATGCCCCTGCCCGGCTGCTCCGGCGGGGGGCAGTGCGAGTGGCGGCGGCGGGGGAGGAGGCGGGGGGCGGCGGCTGCCGCAGAAGGGCCGAGAGCTGGCGGCGGCGGCGGTGGTCGTGAAGGGCATCGGCGGCGGCAGTGAAGGCAGCGATGATGTGAGTGCCCGCCGGCTGGGGACCGGGAGCAGCGGAGCGCTGGGCGGGCGGCGGCGGCGTGCGGGTGCGGGCCCGAGGGCGACAGAGGGATGTGGGAAGCGCGGGCAGAGCTGGAGCCGCCGCCGCCAACCGTCCGGCAGGGGCTGGAGCCCCGCGCTGCGGCGCCGGGGAGCCGGGCCAGACGTGGGGGTCCCGGGCGGCGGCGGGGGCGGCCCGGCCGAGGGGCGTCTGCGATTGTTCTCAACACCCCTCCCCCACCCCACCCCGTGTGTCTGTTTGTCACTTGCAGCTGAAGATGGAAAGAGCCAGGCGAAGGGGAGGCGGCGGCGGCCGTGGCCGCGGAGGCAAGAATGTAGGGGGCTCTGGCCTAAGCAAGAGTAGACTGTATCCCCAGGCCCAGCACTCCCACTACCCCCACTACGCGGCCTCAGCCACCCCTAATCAGGCCGGGGGCGCAGCCGAAATCCAGGAGCTGGCCTCCAAACGAGTGGACATCCAGAAAAAGAGGTTTTACCTAGACGTGAAGCAAAGCTCACGGGGCCGCTTCCTAAAGATAGCCGAAGTCTGGATAGGTAGAGGCCGGCAGGACAACATCAGAAAGAGTAAACTGACCCTCTCCCTGTCTGTGGCAGCGGAGCTGAAGGACTGTCTAGGGGACTTCATCGAGCACTATGCCCACCTGGGCCTGAAAGGCCACCGGCAAGAGCATGGCCACAGCAAAGAGCAAGGCTCCAGGAGGAGACAGAAGCACTCGGCACCCTCCCCACCGGTCTCGGTGGGGTCCGAAGAGCATCCTCACAGTGTCCTGAAAACAGACTATATCGAGAGGGACAATAGGAAATATTACCTAGACCTAAAGGAAAATCAGCGGGGTCGCTTCCTACGGATTAGACAAACCATGATGCGGGGGACTGGCATGATAGGTTATTTTGGCCACAGTTTGGGCCAAGAACAGACTATTGTCCTCCCAGCACAAGGAATGATTGAGTTTCGTGATGCCTTGGTTCAGCTGATTGAAGACTATGGCGAAGGCGACATAGAAGAACGAAGAGGTGGAGACGATGACCCACTTGAACTCCCAGAGGGGACTTCTTTCAGAGTGGACAATAAAAGGTTCTACTTTGATGTGGGCTCTAATAAATATGGAATTTTCCTGAAGGTAAGTGAGGTGAGACCACCTTACCGTAATACTATTACTGTTCCATTCAAAGCTTGGACAAGGTTTGGGGAGAATTTTATCAAGTATGAAGAAGAGATGAGGAAAATTTGCAACAGCCATAAAGAAAAGAGAATGGATGGCAGAAAGGCCAGTGGTGAAGAACAAGAATGCCTCGACTAGAGTGAAATTGAACTCCATCAGGCAAAATTTTAAATCACAAATTGGCTAAAAGTACTGATCCATTATCATTTGAAGAAGTTTTTCCTCTTTTTTGGCCCTTTGTTATTAGTAATACCTCTAGTAGTTGATACTTCAAGAAGTCTGATTCTCATGTTATGTTACACATAGATATCACTATAATTCTTATGGGAATTCCAACCTTCCCAGAGCTAAATAGTTTAGCTGCTTCAACTGCTCCAGACTATTGAAGTATGCAAATCAGCACAAAATGTGACATTCTGACATTCTAAATACCGTAACTAAGATTTACATTGCACTATGACATAATCCTGAGAAAAGGTACATATACTTCAATGGAAGTGTGACTTTCTAGTTAACAAATTCCCCAAAAAGTATTTCAATCCTATTTCATTAAAAGCTGCTAAGCTTATCTGTAGGGCAGTTACCACAGAAACACAAATTGACCTCAAGTATATATAAATATATTTATTTATAAAAGTACAAGTAGACATATAGTGTCTATTGGATAACTGAATATACCATCAAAGGATCAAATCTTATTATCTAAGTAAACCTTAAAAATACAGTGTCATAGTATTTCTTAAGAGTTACTATAGTATTCTATAATTTCAAACTTTATGGTAAATTTTATAGTTGCCATATCAAAGCCATGGGAGAGTTTTAATTGGTTATTCTAAGTTTAATTACAATCCCTTCTTTACCTCTACTTATTGTTTTACGTATTTTTATTGACTTTCCAAAGTTTCAGGAATTACTTTTATGTCACATTGAGTGGGAGGCTTCATCCAATGGCTTTGCTTTGGAAATCCCGGTGTTTTAGCTTTTCATGCTAATTTGAAGATTGTGAGCAGTTTCTTCCCCAAAATATATCATGGACTCAAGGTGTTATACTTTATGCTTCTTCTTTAACACTATTTCAAAAGGGTTGGTGCACCAATTAACTGATGTAAAAATATACCTGTAATAATATATTTTAGTAGCACTTTTGCAGTTGCTACCCTTAAAACCATGTCAACACTTCCAATATAAACCTGAATTTCACAGGTGTTTTAATTCCAGAGGGGGTGGGGATTTTTTTTTCTAAAAAGAATTTAGAATACAAATTACCAATCTGAGAAAAATATTATTTGAAGATTGGTTATAAATATATTTGAAAGGAAAATTCAGGCATTTTCCAAGGTGCTCTTTCTGACTTTACACAAGACTCACCCATTTACCTGTATTAAAAATTACTTTCCAGGAAGTGCCACAGCAAGTTTTCAACACCTAAGCAATTTTTTAAACAAGTGGATATAGTGTTATATGTGTACCAACCCATCTTGTATTAACTGACTGAAATTTCATCTATTCAGCTATTATTTTCTTCTGAATGAAGTTATTGTCTTTTATCTTGGCTTTAGTCACCTCCCACACAATTAGTCCATCTAATCATATTTAAGAGCCTGACACTGATTTCATCCCCCAAATATCACTCTCATTGATGAGAGCTGGCTGCAGGGATTCAAATCAGAATGTAGCTCTTCTTTTATATGCCAAATGTAATTTAAAATTATATCAGCAGTTTTTTTTCTTCCAGAGGTTTGCCCCCCAGTACATTTATGTGAAGTCACTAAGAAAACTTGATGGTATAAATTAAGAAAATTAATTTCATTGGTTTATGTTACTTAAAACAAGCAATCAGTAACCCTGACATATATACTGGTGTTGGTTTGCAGATTGTATTTCACACTTCCTCTAGTAGCCTGAAGGAATCCCATTAGTTCATTATATTTGTGGACCATCTGGATCACTATGGAACAACTGAAGGTTAGGAGATAATGTTAGTACTAGAGTTAATAGCACATGGTGGGTGTTGAGACTCTAAAAGTAGCAAGGATTTTTAAACAGTCCTAACTGTAAAATAACTATGTAGGCTTGCTAAAAAAGTAGTTTTTGGTCTATGAAGGAGTGATGTGCACTTGAATTACTGTACTACTGATTGTTATTGCTGCCCATCATAGTGCCTATTAATAATAATCAACCTGTCAGATTTTGGCAAACTGGAGCTGTGAATATTCTAGTATTCGATTGTTCCTATCGCTATTGCTATGAGTGTATACTCTCTCTTAAAGTCTTCCTTTCTAAAATTTATATCCATTAGTTCTCAATGACTTCCTTATTCCTTTTGGGTCTGATAAGATTTGAGTATGTGTCTATATATATATATATACATATATATATACACACGTATATATGTATATACACATATACATATATATGTATGTATACATACATTCAATACCATGTCAGACTTAAAGATAAATATCTTTAACTCACTGTATATAAACATTATTAAATTTACTTTTCCATTAATTATTTAAGTAAAGAATTAGTTAAGCAGCCAAATTTTCTACCTTGTATGTATACTTCAGAGTTTTCACAATCTCAAAGCTGCAGATTAAATAGATGCATATATACTGGCAATTGAATACACTCAAATTATTAAGCCTTCTGCCAGTCCTTTTGTTTCATTTTTTCATACTCATTGAAAAATGAGATGATGCTATGATTTTTGATACTTAAAATTCCCAAGAACTCATTAGCCATAATTAAATATGATCCAGTTCAAAACTCTGGTCTTAGGACATATATTGCCATGTATCTTATAAAATAAGCTACTATTCTTATCTGTGCAATATGCATTTTATTTATTGTCATTTGTAACATACATGGAGCTGCAAGGGTACTTGGTATCCTTCAAAATAACAGAATCCCTGCCTTAAAGACATTAAACTCTTAAGGCAACTGGAAGCTAGAAGTTAAAAAATGAGCATGAAAGTTAGTAACCAAAAGTACTAGTTCACTGTATAATTCTAAAACACTGATGATGTTTGCACATAATAATCCTAGCATAATGTGGTACAGGCTCAAAACTGTAGTAATATAAGCTAATAGTATAAAATTTGGAAACGGGTTCCTCTTGATAGTTGGCAGTGTGCTCCTAGCAACTGAAAGCAGCACTAATCTGTTGCTTATATGCAAAAGATGCAATGTATTATAAAGATATTAAAGTTCTGCTACATTTTATAATTTTCCTTGTTAAAGCCCCAAACTGCCATGTCCCTGAAACTTGAGTCAAACACAAGCTTATTTGCACTAAAGAGCATGGCCAAAAAAATAAATGACAGGGTGGAAAAAGCTAGTTGGAACCTTTTGAAATAATTGGTTCTAATAGGAGAATTTCACATTTGTCTATTTGAAAGCTGTATGGTCCAGGCAGACAATCTGTCAGTTCACTAATTTAATAATGCACTTTACCTTTTGTATATAGAAGATGTACATTTATGCCACTTGACAGGTGGGATGTGTTTCAATAACTATGTAGTTAGAATCTATAGGGTGATCTCTTGCATGCATATGTTTGTGTTGGAACTGTTGTAGTAACAGGTTTCCATTAAATCAGTGTAATGGAGAAGAGTAGAAGATGCTTTTGAAACAAATCCCAGTATATTTAACAAAGAATTTAAAGTAGAGTTCACATTTGATGTCTTAAGTACTATAATAAATAAAATACTAATTCCAACCCAAATTTTTATTACAATTGAGACTATATTAGTTGAGATTCCCCATAATGCCCTGAAAGTTAATTTGGGGAGTTTGTCCATACAAAAATTACCTTCACTCATTGTTTCCTTGTTGATATGTGTTTAAGTAATGAATAAAAATGCAGTACATAATATTATACTCGAATTAAAAGTGTGGTTAGCTGATATAGCATTATTTAAAGAACACTCAGACTAAAGAAAGTTTCAAGTTAAGAAAATGCAAGGAACCTATGAACAGTCACTAACACAAATATGATATCTCAAAATTCACGGAAGTACTAACCTGCTCCAACTAAAAAGGGTGTTGGGGGATTTAGTGTATCCTTCCATCTTAAAAATTTCCTAAGATGTACATGTGAAAACTGGATAACTGTTGCTTAATAATACTTTACTGAGAAACACTGTGTACTAACAATTCATCAAGAGTGTGCTATATTTACTGCATTAATTTTATATCTGTAGATAAGAATACATTATATAGTCCTCCTATCTTAATATAATCATGTATTTATATTGTAATTTTGCAAATATTTTCCTTAAAATAAACATTTATCTGAGCTGCACAATTTGAAGAGGATGAAATTGGAATACACCCTCAGATGCTCATTTTTAATAAGCAGCTACCATTGAAAGCTGATGTATGTATTATCATTCCTTTAAATTTGGGTTTATGGTATATTTTAATATTTAAATGATAGGACTTAATTTGAATTTTAAGTGGTTTTCTGAAAATAATTTTCATAAGCGTGAGCTTTTTTTTCCTGCTTATCTCCAAATGTTTTTCATTGGAACTATTTATGAAATCCTATTTAAAGCTTTATGTAAGGGCTTTGCTTAGTCACCACTTAGTTTGAAGTCTCTCTTTACTAAAACACCAAACATCTTTGACAACATACAAAGAGAAGTTAACATTGATTCTATGCCTACAGAATAATACAGGTATAATACTTATCACTGCCTGAAAAGGGTCTTAATATCTTTCTGAAATTTCCTTAAAGTTTTCTTGAATTTCCAAGAGAAATGGTGGCTAATGGCTAGCCCATCAGAGAAAGAGAATAAGTATGTTAACGTTCTGTTGAGAAAACCAATAGTCCACCATACTGTAGCAATGACGTTCAGGGAGAATGTGTTTTCCCCAACTTAATGTCATGTGAAAATTGGGTTCTAAGATCACAGTAACTATGTCATAAAGAAAATATACCCAAATTTAGTAGGTAGAGCTTAGAAAAATAATATATGTATAAGTATATATTTTCATGTATAATGGAAAAAATCAGTAGTTGTTATTAATTTGACATGCTATTTTAAATCATTTAAATTTATTTTGGTAATGAGATTTTAATCAATATTTTTGAATAGGGAAAAACATACATATAGTACAAAATGGAAACAGTACAGATGGGTAGAGGGTGAAAAGTAGCAACCAATGTTATCAATTTCTTGTGTATCGTTTTAGAGTTACTCTGCATATAAAACATGTGTATGTATATATATATTCTTTTTAAACCATACAGATGAAAACATATATACTATCTTGTACCTAGTAGGTTCAATTTTAGATCTGTCATTTTAAGTGACTTTTTTTACCTAGATATCATACTTGAGCTAGTTAATATATCACCTAATTTGAAATATATTATTATACCAAGGAAATATCGAGGAAATTTGAATTACTCCCACTGGTAGTTACTTAAAATGCAAATATATGTGTATTTTAAATACACAAATATTCAGTTTATCCTACTAGTTTCCCTTCCCTTCTAGCCATCTTGCCTTCCTATATTCCCCTCACAAATATATTGGTCTTTTTTCTGAAGTAATGCAGTCAGGAGTGGCAGGATATTCAATAATTTAACCAAGTGTTATCGTCAGCAAATGGTGTTCTATAATGAAAAATGCCCATATTTAAAGGCTTTAATAAAGTATCACTTTTAGTCAGTTTTTACTAATTCTGTTACTATTATCTTCATCCAAAGACCTTGTCATTATATGAGCAAATGCGTATTAGAACTATGGTAAAAGGGTATGCTATAATTCTGTTGAAATATTTTATTAGCATGAAGCCTTTATCTTTCTGAGAAAGGTATAACATTCATTTAGCAACCTCATCAAATCCAAGCAAATAGGTTACTCTAGACCCGATTGTTTAAAGCATTGATTTTTCATTGAAGGGCCAAGAGTGTGTCAGAAGTCCTTGGGACCAACGGTGCTAGGATGATTTGGGCAATGAGTAAAAATTGGGGCGCTATGAGGTTACAAGTACAACTAAACTGTCTCCACTCTCTGCTGGAAGAATATAAAATGGTCAATATAATGTTTTAATGAAGTTAGCATTATTACTCTTCCTATAAATATAAACAAAGCTGCTTTAACAGTTTTCTGAGCACCCCTCCCCAAAAATCATAATTCTCTTTTCATTCCCATCAAGAGTGCATTTTGAGATCACTTTTCTATTGACCACCAAGAAAAAATTATCTGAAAAATGAAAGATCCCACACTTGAGTCTTGAAAGATACTATCTAATTATGAATTAAAGCAACCAGAGTAAAAGATCCAGTGCAATTGTAAATATCTTTAAAAATGTGGGATGAGGAAGAATTTTTCAATGAATTGCTATCTGTGAATTTTATGAACATGTCATAACGTTTAAAAATGTAAAGCACTGCTTTAAATTTTAGAATAATAACTCCATACTTGGTATCATAATGTCCTGTTTATAAAATGAGAGAGCTGTTGTTAAAAGATAAGATCCTCTTAAACATATTTTTAAAAGCATAAAAGAATTTGCTGCTTTTATTTTCATGCTGAGTAACTCATTATAAAATTCATTAAAAATTCATCTTTAGGTATGAATTTTGCTTAAATTTAAGCTAAAAATATTAATAATTTCCCATCCTTAATTGAAGAATTTCCCAAGTTGGTGCTTTCTGGTAAATTATATTTTTCAAACTTTGTGATTCTTTTGAATACTTCTTATGAAAAGTTACATATTTTTATTGAGGCCAGTGACATCCACCAGTAAATAAAAACATAATGAATTAGTGCTGCTATAGTGAAGTTACTTTGTGATATGAATATGAAGAAAAAAAAACTCATTTAAATGGAATATATAGTTTCGTATTTAATATTATTAACTTATTTCTGATTAAGTAGCAGTTCTCGGTCTTCACATTTTACCCTCTTACGCTTAATTTCTGCGAAAAAAATTGTTCTATTCTGTTTTCATTTTCCTAGGGAAAGGGAAAAACAGTCCCTAATGAAACATGTTTGTAGTATTTAAAAGAGTTGCTCAAAGTGTAAGAGTGGGGAAAAAAGGCTTATGTTGGTTTTTTTTTTTTGTCTTTATCAAAATAATTGTATAAATCTGATTGTCTTATTTGATCTGATTAAAGCCAGGATTTTTTTTATCGGAAACTTTTGTATTCAAAAAATATTTAGTGTTTTATTTTTCTTAAAGAAAATGATTCTGTTGGTTAACAGAAATCTTCAGGATTTTGTTGTGGATTTGATGAGGTTGCTGCCTAAAGGCAGCAAATAGAAAAGAAGAAATAGAAAAGAGAAAGATAGTGGCTGATTATTTTGCTTGTCCATAACGAAATCCATCTAAGAGAAATAAATCATTCTCAAAACTCAATGTCTATTTAACCTTTAAAAGAGCATTTGAGAAAGAATAATAAGACCTAATTCTGCCAAGGTATGGCCTGACCCTGAGTAAATCATTCAACTTCTGTTGGATGATTTTCTCATGTGACAAATGAAGAATATTGTGCTGCAAGCTAAGGTTCCCTCCTACTCTAAACGCCTAAAATTCTGTGTCAGTGGACTGTGAAAGGAAAAGTAGATGGATAATACCAGAGTTGGAAAGTGTGAGTTTCTCTGTTTACATTAAAAACAACTCTAATTATGCAGCAACCTGTGATGATACCTAACAGAACAATGCAAAAATGTCAGTTTTATAAAATGTATGTATTTCTTTAGCCACACAAAATAAAATTTTGTTTCTAGTCCTTATTAAGACCAAGTTGTTGTACACTAACTACATAACTATCCTAAACTTTACTTTTTTTAAAGAAATGTTTTTAAATATTGATTATCTCCCATGTCTTCATAATTTCCAATATCTCATTATTTGGAAGGAGGGAGCATTGCTTGTTTCTGCACATTCTGTAATCATTTTTTATATTCTGCATGGCAAAGGAATTTTAGAGATTAATATCACTTCCTGAAATGCCATTGTTCCTAAAATAGCTATAAATCACCTTGTCAAATAATACTGCAGCTGTCATGGTAGTGGTCCTATCAGATATTCTATGTGAGAAATAATGATGTGTGACAAAGACCATCAGAAAGGATACTGACCTGTGAACAGTATGGTTCTGTTTTAGAGGACCTGCAACTACTAGGGTATGCAAAGATTAAACATCTAATGGTTTGGGGGGTTTCTTAGCCTTAAGAAATGTCAAAGATTGATGATTGAAAGAGAGGAAAAGCAGCACACAAGGTTTTTGTCTGACAGGCATTTGAGCACCCCAGTCCTCAAGTATGCAGTGCCCCCTCCTCTGCCGGTGGAGAGAATTTAAAAAGAGTGACACATTTCTCTCTATACCTCACTTTTGGTGCCTATTTGTTTATCAAAGACTGCATTTAAGAGTAACCTAAGTGTATTTTGAAATGCATATGCATGTGTATTTTGCTAATTTCAAAAGTTTCTGTGCACATAAGAAACATTCCATATGATAACTAATCTTTGCCCTGGGGGCACAAATGGCAATTTGGTTGGTCTGTTTTCAACAAATTCTATAGAATGAATTGGCTGTTAGAAAACGTTTTCTCTCTTTTCTCCTCCCTCTCCTCAAAATAGCAGATACATTGTAGATTATTGATTGCTTCTTTTTCAGTGGTGTTTGAAATCTAAGTGGGATTTGAGAGAATAGTTTAGCTGGGCAGTTCTTTACCCTTGCCATTTTGTAGAAACTTCCCTCAGCTTCCCATCAGACATTCTAAGCAGCTTTACCAAAAGAACTCACCTACGTGCCAAAATTACCCAGCAAAATAAAACAACAGAACCATAAGAAAATAATGTAAGAGTAAGAATAAGGATATATACAGACACCTACATTCACATTTCTTATCAGTTGCTAATTTACTTCAGTGACTGCTGTATTTTATTTCTAGGTTCTTCAAACAAGCAATGTGATTTATTCCAATGATTTGTCAGTCTAGAATTTCAATAGAACAAAATATTTTGCTGCTTAGTAAATGCTCCAAAAAGGATATCTCATTTTATAATCAGTTGTAAAAATAGAATTCTAAAATTCCATTCATTATCATCCTCTTTCCTTCTTCCCTCCTGTACACTGTACCCTGTTGGAAGTGGGTAAGGGCATTAATTTCTTTCACTATCACATGGACCCGCTCCATCCTATTTATTTGTTCAGATGACAAATGAAACACAATAAAAACCAGAGCTGCTCTTTGAAATTTTAGAAATTGCCTTGTGAGCTAGATCTATAGACTCTAAGAAAGAAGGACTACTTCTTCACTGAACTATGCTCCACACTCTTGCCATGTTTCTATACAACAGTTTAAGATGCATAGAAAACAGATTGCACTTGGGATGACATAATCTGAAAGATCA